CCAAGCTACAGAGTCCAGAAGTGGACAACCCAAAGATTTATTCCTCATCCATGAGGAATATCTGAACTTCTGGCCCATTGTGTGAACACAGGCCATATAGGGGATTAAAGCCTTTTGTTTTGGGTTAAATGAAGGTTGCCAGGTGGTTGTTAGCGGGAGAGTGCTAAGTGAAAATGCTGTATAAACTGCATGCTTTTCACAAATGGTAGTGTTTCTTCTCTATGTTCTTCTTATATGTAAGTTCCTCAATTCAATAACCCCTATGTCTTCCTGGCTCTAGGTCTCTTCTTTGGCCTCTTGAACATAGTGCCACTCCTACTGAAGTCAATAGGGGTCTGGCATGACAGATACCTTCTCTTAATAAACCTCTTGGGGTTGACTAGTTTTTTATGACCATTTCTTTGAACTTAAAATGGAACAGAGTCCCCAGAAATTCTGGTATGTTTCCATGAGTTGCTGGGTGAGGGATTAAGTAAGTACATTCTACAGTAACTACAGTTGAACAGGAAAGGGCTATTAGTTTTCTACATTCTCACTGAACACATCAGAATGTGCATACAAAAAGCCCCGGAAGTTCTTAAAGAGAAGTATTTTAGGGTAGGAAAGGTTGTGAAAATTTGTAAGAACCATTTTTATTTCTAAATTATTCATGGTTGAAATATTTGTAAATAAGCATTTATTCCCTTTGTAATTATACAAAACAAATACAAATATTATTTTTAAAAAACTCTGGTCTGATTCAGAGGCTTTTTAGATTAAAAAACATCATTCAAGAGAATGTGTTCAGTCCTTGCTGGTCTGATCTATATGTTAAATGACTAGACTTAAGAATAAAGACAAGGTTGATATGCATGCTGCTACCTACCCAAAATGACTTTTTCTTCTCCCTCTACTCATTTTGCTGATGCAAATTACTATTCCCTTGTAACTGGTAGCTCTTATCAGCAACACAGAAATATAAGGCTTTCTGACCTAAAAGTCAAGCAACTGCCCAATACAACTTTGGTAGTCAGAGGCAACCAGTTTATTAAATGGACTTAATTCAATAAAGGGCACATCAAATGTTAAAATTATTTAGTCCAGATTCAGTAAAAGCTCCAATTTCATATATAATTTAAAGGAGTGGGGAAGATTTTTTAATCATAATAATTTATTTGACCCAATATATCCAAAATATTATTTTAATATGTGATCAATATATAATTGTTTATGAAGTATATCTTTTGGTACTAAATTTTGGCAATTCTGTCTATGTTTTAAGTTTTCAGCATATGTCAGTTCAGAGCAGCCTATTCCATGCGCTCAGTAGCCCCACGTGGCCAGTGGCCGCCACACTTAGTGCAGCTGTGAGGGCTCTGACTCCCTTGAGCTAAGGAAGGTGAAGGGCCTGAAACACTCTTTTCTGCCAGAAGTGAGGGAACAGCCTCTGCCTCCCAACATCTTTCCTCAGGCCCAAGGGTAAGAGATTTTGCCCCTAGAAAGCAGGGGCTGCAAGAAGAAAGTGTCCACAGGTACCACTGCTGCCCACCTGATGCCCATCTTCCATCCAGAGATCAGACAGTAAACAAAGGATAATAAGGGCCTTCTAAAAGGAAACTCAGTGTCTTCAGATCTGTATACAGCCTTGACCTCCAAAGTGTAGATATGGAGGAAATACATTAAAGGCGAAATTCTTACCTTGCTATTTGCTATTTGGCCTTGGCCCCAATGGTCAGGCCGTGGCTGTTTCCTCCTGTGGTGTGGAGGACTATGTAATTTAAGCACCAATCACACGCAAACATCTGCATGCATTTCTGTATAACTCACCACTATCTTACAAGAGATCCAACTTTAAGTAAGGAGCAATAAAATCTGCACCTGTAGGGTGCCTTCTATTTGCAGGTAACTAGTAATCAACCTATCATTGAATCCTGCCATCCCATTCACACTGGGTATATATTAGTTAGCTATTGTGTAACAAACCATGCAAGACTTATTAGCTCAAGGTGGAGCTGCTCAGCCATTTGGCCAGGGCTCAGCTGGGACATTCTTCTGGGCTCAGGTGGGTTCTTCCAGGCATATGTGGCCAGCTGCTGGTTGACTAGGCAGCTCTGGTTCTGGGTGTCGGTTGGCTGTCAACTGGAGCACTTTGCTCTCTTCCCCATGGTATCTCATCCTCCAGCAGGCTAACATGAGCTTGCGGTCATGGAGATGGGAGGGTTTGCCAGTAATGGGACATTTCAGGAAATTTTGACTTTCCTGAAAATCCTTAGGGGAGTATTTTTCCTTTCAGCTCCAGCACCCTCTCTCTCACTGGGTCCTGATTCTGGGATCCTTTTCTCACCTCCAGGTGGGCAGGAGACTTGGATCCCGTCCCCAGAGAAAATGGAGGCCTCAGGTCTTCCATGGAGGAGGGCCGGATTTTTATATTTACTTGTCTGCATTCTAATTTTGAATTCTCCCTTATATGCATAATTCAAAAGGGATTCAAGAATTTATTCTATAACTCTTAGACCACTCAGGCAAATAAAATTTCTACAAATGTATTAGCAAGAGAAGGTTCATGAACAGATTTATTTAATGAGAACTGTTGCTGATCTGTGGAATTCCATCCTTAACTCCAAAGAGTGGTGTGTTTGTGGGTGGAGTGGAGGAGTGGGTGGGTTGTAGTGGGGTGTTACCTTCTAACCTTTAGCCTAGTAAGGGAGGCCTCAAGGGAGCTACTTGGAGAATTTGAAATATGGCCCCTGAAATTGAGAGACACAGAGGGCTAGTGTCTGACCCAGTAGAGAGAACTACAGTGAACTGTGGCGTCAGGGGCTGACTTTCTTGGGTATAATCAAGAAGGGCTGATTCCTTTGATTGTAGAACTAGTAGAATGGAGCTACATTGGGATTGGCTGGTGTTCCCAAAGTTGTTAGTGCAGGATATGTATCATCATTCCTACAGAGGGGATTTAGACTATTTGAAGAAAGGGAAAGAACTGGCTTGGAGTTTTCTTAGACCTCTCCTCCAATTTAAGTGAGTTTCTAGAAGAAGGTCACAAGACCTCAGAAGGAAAAGGCATAATTAAGTGTACCTCAGTATGCTCTAGGACTTGTGGAGGAGATAGGTGATTACCTGTTAGAGGCCCAAGTCCCTGAAAGTTTATGTCTTTCCACAGTCAGACTTTTTTATTGATGCTCTTTCAATTGTAAAAGCCATGAGCTGTATAAAGGTCCGAAGGAGGTAATTTTCCTTAGTACTACCCATTCATTTGGTAGTCAGAGCCAAGGGCACAAAGCTCTAGCCACTCCACAAGTCAGTCAATATTGCAAACCATATATAGTAGTATACTTAATCAACACATAAATATTATAGGCTAAAGATTCCAAACCAAAATAACATTTAACAACAACAGAAGGGTTAGGAAAATGGGGTTAATGAACCAGTCTAAGGAGAGCAACATGGACAGAGTGTCCTGGGCTGATCAGGACGGATATCAACACTTTGCAAGGAAGAGTTTTTGATTTGAGCAGGGCCTTTGGTGGCAGATGCTGGATGCTGATCATGAGTGACAGCAAGACAGTGTTTGTTAAGATGGCTATCTCGAGCTGGTGAAGTTCTACTCTTTTTATAGCCTCAGAGTCCTCTGGTGATGGCTGAAAGTAAAGATTGTGCCTGGTTATGTCCTTATCTGGTTGGGTGGAGTCTCTATTGATTAGGTGAACATTTGGTCCCTTTTGGCATGATCCCTTTTGAAATGTAAATGGAGTCTTTTTCTAAGATGTAGTTATTTATGTCAAGGGTGCTCTATACAACCTGCAATAGAGCTATCAACCTGAAAGTGATATCTCTACCCACTTTAAGGAAACTATGACAGAAGTCCCCAGGGATATGAATTATTAAGGGAGAAAGAGTGAAATTCAAACATTTGCAGGTCTAGAGGGCTTAAAGCCAGCTTATGATGGTACCAGTTCAAATTAAAACTGTATTCTCCCCTGTTCTCTTCTTCCCTTATTCTGCCTGGGCAGGAAGGACCATCCCACTTTTTCTCTACAGCAGGCTGCTAGCCGGAAGTAGATTCTAGATAGAAGATAACTCAACAACACATACTAAAGTAGAAAAAGACGATGGTGTTCATTCTCACAGAGTTGTATCTTGAGTACATTACAAGCCATGCTTAAATCAGTGGTGAAACAAGCACCCAGACTCCCCGTGGACTCAGGTTAAGCCATCCCAGGAATTTCCTCCTTCGCTTCACTTCGGGCCTATGGCAGTGTGTTTTGTTGGCTGATGCATACACATTTACCTACAAAGCTATCATAGATATTCACAGGCAAGCATACATCTAAATAGAAAGGCTATAACATCATGTGATAAGTTCGTGTCCAGCCAACCAATTATCCCAGCTAGGCACCAGTGCCAGTAAATTAGAGTCGTTCAGGTAGCTAGTCAATTTTTATGCAGAGTCAGCCATTCTTGCAACCTGGTGAGGAGTTCTGCTAATTACACATATTCCACCTACACAAGGGTCTTGGATCTCCAGGGCCACCTAGCCCACCTGTTGTGGAGTTCCTTTGCTTTTCTAGTCTATCAGCTTAGGCTGAGTCAAAATTCCTAAAAGGTTGCCCTGCTATGATCCCACACCCTGCTCTGCCCGCCTCCCACATCTCTGCCAGCGCGGGCAGTTTGATGACGTCACTGCGTTCGGACGCGCCCCGCCCCTGAGCAGTCCTCGCTGCCCCGCACCGCCCAGCTCGCCGCCAGGGGACGCCAGTGGGTAGAGTGTCTCCTTGGCAACCACTTGCTCCTCCCCCTTCGCCCCTTTAACCTTTAGGGTGCGCGAGTGCAGAGTCACTAACGCTGCCTCCCCTTTCCCCCTCCCTGACCCTACCCCTGGCGTTCAGTTCGGTCTGGACCGGAAGCGAAGATGGCGGCTGCTGGCGCGGCCTCGGCAGAGCTGGTGATCGGCTGGTGTATTTTCGGCCTCTTACTACTGGTAGGGGAGGCGCTTGGAGTTTTCCCAATGTTTGCACTGGCGGAGGGAGGAAGGGGCCGGCCCTACAGTTGGCCTCTCCGGGCTCCGGAGACCCTCTTCGCTCCGCCCGCTTTTAGCTTGGACTGTGGAAGGCTCCTCAGTGTTGGCGGCTAGGGCTGGCGGCTGGGGCAGGAGGGTGCTGATTTCCGGACGCTTTTGCTTTCTTTTCACTGATGACGTCTAAGGTTTCAGGGTCCTTTTTGGAAGCTCTTGCCCTCATCCCTGACTTGGGCAATGGGGCCGGTGGGGTTTGGGGGCGAAAGAGACTCTCGGGGTTGAGAAGCATGTGGTGGCCTTTCGTCCCCTGTAAAACAGTGGCATAAGGTGTGGGGCGGCAGCGCTGGATCTTTGCAAGTTAAGTAAGCGCTGGCGTTGTTTACTTGTCGACTTCTCTGTATGTTTTTCCCCAATGTTCCCTACGCTTGGGGCCAGTGAGTCTCCAACCTTCTGTGTCCATTGTGTGATTCTGCCTTGATGACGTGAGTTGCTCGTTCTGACTTCCAGGTGTCACATTCTCTTCCAATCTTTTTTTGGTGGGAGTAGATGCCTGTGGAGGGCAGAGCTGTAGCCCTTTTTATCACCAGTATCGGTGTATATACTACTACCTATCTGACCTCAGGTGTTTTCTTTTCCAATGGTCTTATTTCTGTACATGTAGTGAGCAAAATGTAGACTGAAATGGCCCAAAGTGGCCTGGCTATTACTTCTCTATTAATATTAAAACCCTTTGGTTTATTTTATTTGGGAGTTCGATTTATTTCCTTTCATAACCTCTCTACCTTCTCAAATCTTCTCTTTTCTCGTCCTCCGAGCCTGTTGTTACTTTGTGTTCCAATGTATTTTGACCTTTTTGCATTGCAAAACAAAACAAAACCTCCAGTTCTGGAAATCAGGCTTGTTTGGTTTTACTTTAATTGTCAGATTCCAGTAGGTGTCTGGTACCTACGTAGTATGTTCTAGTAAATTTTTGCAGTAGAGACAAAAAAAAAAAAAAAAGAAGAAGAAAGGAAAAAAGGATGGTGTGTGAAAATTTAAGAAATGGATTCTCTTGTTACTGCCATCACTGTCACAGATTAAAAACACTGCCTTTACCTTGGCTTTTCCAGTCTATCTAATTCCGTTTGTTTAGAAGAAAATAAATAAGCATATAATGTGTCAAAGTTAAGGGAGACTATCTTGGCAGCTATTAATTAATAAACATTGAAGGTACAGAAGTGGTTGTGTGGTGTGAATTGTAAGAGGATGTAAATGAAACAAAAAATGGCTTTAAAGAGGGTCTGGAGATAGGTAGGAAAACTGAAATTCTTGAAACATGTATTTTATGTACTGAAATCCAAAGTATGACTGTAAATAAAATAGAACTTAAGAGAAAAGACAAAAATATTGGAAGACAATGAGAGATGTGTTAGCGTTTGGACCAACGAAAAAAAGGAAGCCATTTAAGTTGGCAGTATTACAGCAAGAACTATTAAAATCAGAAGGTAATTAGGAGTTTGACACTTGCATGTTGGCGTAGAAAAAAGCATTAGGAAGAAGGATTCTTGTTTAAATTTCTGCAAATCTCTTTAAATCCTGGTTTATTAGAAGAAAGACTGGTTTCTTACGTTGGCTTCTACGTTCAGTCTTTTGGGGTATGTTATTTTAGTCGAAGTGTGAAGAAAATACAACTGCAGTGATAGGTAGTCAGCAACAGAGGAGTATTTTTCAGGTAATTGTGGTGGATGTTCTTTGATACTACACCAAAGCTTTGATACTACACCAAAGCTCAACAGGTGGAATCTTCTTAAAGGTCAGTGGCAAGATGGAACTTGAAACCCTATCAATGAGCTTTTCATTCATTGTCACATTAAAATAATCCATTAGCCCATCTTGCACTCTGAATGGATCTTTTACCCGTCGTGCATCGTTTTATAACATGAAGCTTTGGTCATTTAGAAAATATTGTTTACTGGGTTATGCACATCTTTTAAATATGGATACATTTCATTACACAATTTCAAAATATCATATTTCATTTCTGATCTTGTCAGAAATGTCTCTGAAAATTCTGAGTATTGAAGGGTTGTCAAGCTCATAGTGGTGGATAGAAGTCTTTCAAAGTCCAATTTTCATTTGGAAGTTTGACTCTTATCAATGGTATCAAATACTGTCAGTTTGTCTTTAAGTGATAAGCTCCCTTTGTTCATTTGACAAAATCTGCCAAATAGCGAAGTCTGAATAACCATAGTTCGGCAGTTGTTCTTTCAAATAAAAATGATGTTGCTTGAAGACTGGTTGGTTTGGCTTTTAATTCTAAACTTTTCCAGGAGATGGCTGTCACATCTTGCTATGCAGCAGAAATACTTTATGTATGCCTGCTTCATATTTTACCTCACAAACTATTAAAAAGAGTCAAGGATTGAAGTTCAGTAAAATTAATTTATACTTCTTTGTGAAGCATAGTCTTAATTTGTACTTTTTTGAGCTTGTGGTGAATAATACAATGACTCCTGGTGCAGTGTGGTGCCACTGTCTTGATTCCTGCTAACGCACCAGTAGCTTTACCTACCATGGCTATGAACCATGAGTACAAATGTCAGCACAGTGAAAAAGGCAAATAGCATCTTAGTAATTATTATGGGAAGAGTTTTCAACTTCTGAATATCCAGAAAGGATTCTGGGGACTACCAGGGCCCAGGGATTTCACACTTGGAGAACTTTGGCCAATCATCTATTAAAGAATCAGGACATGGGCAGGGTGTGGTGACTCACACCTGTAATCCCAGCACTTTGGGAGGCTGAGGCAGGTGGATCAGTTGAGCTCAGGAGTTCAAGACCAGCCTGGGCAACATGGCAAAACCCTGTCTCTACTAAAAATACAAAGAATTAGCCAGGCGTGGTGGCAAATGCCTTTGGTCCCAGCTACTCGAAGGCTGAGGTGAGAGGATTGCTTGAGCCCGGGAGGCGGTTCCCAAAAGTGGTTGCAGCGAGCTCTCATGGTGCAACTGCATTGCAGCCTGGGCAACAGAAACCCTGTCTCAAAAAAAGAAAAAGAATCAGGACATGAATGTTGCCTACTTTTGTGATCTTGGGCAAAAAAAATGGACTTCAGTTTCTTCACACATAAGAAATTGTTAGATTTGGTCCCTCATGCCTGTAATCTAACTGTCTGTCTTTACTGTATCAAGTCTAAACTATTCTATCTAGTTCCAGTGTCCTCTGTAATTTGACCCACACCACCTTTAAATTGTGTTTGTCATTACAATAGGAGACTCTTCATTTTTGTAAAGTGAATTTATTCTTGTTCCTTAAAATGTGGGCATCACCTGGGAACTTGTTAGAAATACCAAATATATGACCCCATGCCTACTACATTCCTAATCAGAATCTGCAGTTTAACAAGATCCCAGACAGTATATCATCTATTCTGATTAGTTTAATAAAGATTCATCTCTACTCATTTCTTCTTCTGCTGCAGTGGCTCTCAACCTTGGCCTTTCATGAGAACCACCTGGGGAGTTTTTAAAATCTCAGTGTTAAGACCAATTATTTTGAATCTCTTGGGAGAAGCTGAGGGGAGTATTTAAAACTTTTCCTTATAATTGTTAACAAAGTTATGTATTTGTTTCTTTCATCAAATGCTCTAATAGCAACTACCACTATTCGTTAAGCAGTTACTGTGGCCAGCCACTGTGCTAAACTATTTATATCTCATTTCATTTTTATAATCTGTTATGAAAGAAGTATTCTTTTAGATGAAAATACTTGGTTTTATTTTACCAGTAATGATTGACAATATAAACAAAAAGCTCTTGAAGGTTATCAGTTTTAAAACCATTGTAAAGGGATTCTGAGAGCAAAAAGTTTGGGAGACTCAGGCTTAACTCTTCCTCCTGGTTGCCCTTTCCCAGCTTGTCTGACTGATATTGGCAAAATCCTTTGTTTGTAGTAATACTTACAAAATGCAGGTTTTCTTTCATTCTTGAAATCCAATAAAAAATTTATTGGAACACTTTGTGTCAAGTACTACTAAGGATAGAAAGAAAGGCTCAGTTTCCAAAGACTTCAAAATAAATTGGGGGAATGTTAAAAATATTTATGAATTCCTTTAAAAACAAGCCCATTTAAATTTAATGTAAAGTAACATTTTATGAAAAATAACTGTTTCCCAAAAATCAAGAATTTGAGCCTAGATTTTGTTTGTTCTAAAGTCTTAACTCCCTTCTCAATTTTTTTCCTGCTATTCTGTCACCAGTTGAAAGGCCAGCAGTATGAAGGAATGACAAGCAGCAGCTTGGATGGGTTTTAAATGCACTGTGCCAAATGACACTAGCCAGACTGAAAAGACAACATACTGTATGAAGGCATTATGACATTCTGGAAAAGGCAGAAACTATATGGACAGAGAATATATAGCAGTTGTCAGGGTGATACTGGAGGGCTGAGGGAGATCTCCAAATATAGGTGGGATCTCAACCCCAGAGGAAGTAAAAAAAATAGTTAAAGTATGGAGATTTATTAAAGGGAAAAGTACCACTCAAGAAAGGTAAGTGTGGGCATCCTTAAGAGAGAGACACACACAATGGGGTTTGGAGTTTCTACCTTTATGGGTTTCTTTAATCAAGGGATATAATCATGAAAATTCCTGGAAAAAGATAGAGGTTTCTTGAAATTGTGGTGCCACCCATTTTTACATCAAATATGAGTGGTCTTGGAACTACCATAGTGCTGGTAGGTGTGTGATTGAGCACGTTAATGAGCATATAACGAGGTCCTAGGTGAAACCTGGGTCAGATCCATTGTCATGTTAGGTCCAGTGGGTCTCAACCAGCTTGGTCCACATCCTGGTTTTTCAGGGTCTTATTAGCCCATAGTCTCTAGTCATGTAAAACTGCTGCCTGGAATTTTTTTAACCCTTGTAACCATCCTGCATTATTCCTGTCTTAAGGGCTGGAGTCAGAGAGAGGGATTAACTAAAAAGGGACAAAGGAATTTTCTGAGATAATGGAATTGTTCTTGTGTCTTGCTTGTGGTAGAATAATTTGGAAGCTGCAAAACTAGTTTGGTAGTTTTATTAGTTTCAGTTAGGCCTCTAAACTATAGGATGCTCAGAAAGAAAATAACAGATGAATCTGTTGAAAAGTGAAAGGACAAAACAAGGCTTTTAAAAGTACAGAGCTCTTACAGTGGTTCTCAAGATAGGCTCAAATTGAAATCCTCAGGCATTTAAAGTACTGATGCCAGGAGGCGCCTTATTCTCCTCCATTGATAGAATTGATTGGGGAATGTAGGGAAGGTATAAGGGTACTTAAAAGTTACCCAGGTGATTCTGACTCACTGTGGAGGCTGAAATAACTTAGTCTCTGTCTGCAACTCCCTGTAATTGAGTAGAATAGAAGTTCTCAAACTATAGCCCTGGACCAGCAGCAACCTTACCTGGGAAAGCTGTTACAAATACAGATTTTCTAGCTCCACTCCAGACTTCTTGAATCTGAAATTCAGAGGATGGGGCCTAACAATCTATGCTGTAACAGTTGCTGCAAGTGATTCCAAAGCCTCCTAAAGTTAGAGAGTCATTAAGTCATTTACTCTGTGATAGTCACTAGAATGGCATTGGTAAGTATTAAGAGTAACTGGTTGACTAGAGATGTCACCCTCTACCTCTGAGTGAACTTTTTTCACTGGCAAGCTTTTCGCTGTGCACATGTATCCATTTTCAGCGTTGACTTTTCTTTGTTTAATGCTCTCTAAAATTTAAATTATAATATGATAATTGCATGGTGATTACTGGCAGTTAATCTTTAGCCGAATGCTGTTCTTGAACTGTCAGAACAGAAGTTAGTTTTCATCTAAGTTATATTCTGTAATGCTTCAGTAATAAGGCTAGGATAGAACAACTTCTACTCATATCTCCTTTAGGTTGGAAAAATCTACAGGGAAAAAAATATATTCAAAGCTAGTTGTAACTATGATGTGTGAAACCATTAATGGCTGCACTGTGTTTGGTGAGGAAATATGTAAGTGAGCACTCTTACTAATAGTATTGTGTGTGTATACCTATGTGATATACTGCATTCATGAAATAGGCTTTGAAGATTATACATCTTGGACAAGTTTTAAGGGATAGTGGGCTTTCCTTACACAATTAAAATAACCTTTATTTCACATAAGGTTTCCTGCTAGAAACTTTCAAACACATACAAAAATCAGATAAATACATCGGGTAGTAACAAACATCTCTTTTTGTTCTATTTCAGGCTATTTTGGCATTCTGCTGGATATATGTTCGTAAATATCAAAGTCAACGGGAAAGTGAAGTTGTCTCCACCATAACAGCAATTTTTTCTTTAGCAATTGCACTTATCACATCAGCACTTCTCCCAGTGGATATATTTTTGGTTTCTTACATGAAAAATCAAAATGGTACATTTAAGGTAAATATAATCTTACTTTGCAGATTCTTTTTTCCTTTTATATTTCTGGCACACTTAGCAGTACAATATAAATTGTGTTTTATTTTTGTATCTGGGAATGAATGAAAATGGAAATACAGCTTAGGGGCTGAGAATGTGACATCTAACCTGATAGACTAGAAGCAGGCTTTTAATTGACGTAAGGACTATTATATTAATTCAGCAACCCTGCAGGTGCTTTAAGTAATCATAATAGATTATACCGAATACTAGCTCAGTCGGGAGACCCCCACCTACGTGGTGCTGAAGGTAATGAGAGGCAGACACCCAGATAGAACAGCAAAGTAGATCTATCCAGGGGGCCAGCAGCCTATCGAGCTGAGAGCCTCAGGGGCTAACAGCCTTCCAGGCTGAAGGCCCAAGCAGATTCTGCTTCATGTATTTATTCTCTCTTAAACAGGTGATTCTTATTAATAAATAGGCTTTCTGTATTTACTCATAACTCAAAAATATACCAAGTAGGCAGCTATTACCCACCTACCACTAATTACAAACTAAAAGGTATTCTTCACAAGGGAACCACCGGGGCACGATAAACTTAATGTTTCTCTATAAGGTTATATATTTTTGGCTGCTTGTAACTCCCTTGAAGTTTATTTGATTTGCATTAATGCAATAAATAAATAATTTAGAAGGGCTTTGTTAGTGGCAGATCAGGATCCTAATCTCTGTTTCATATTGAGTACTTTTGAGTCAGTATGGTACAGTGAATTAGGGTGGGAATTATAAGACCTGAGTTGTAGTCTTGACCCTTAACTGCTAGCTGTATACCATTAGCCAAACCACTTAACTTTTCTGGACTTGAGGGTCCTATTTTAAAAATGAAGGGTACGGACTAAAGGTTTCTGAGTTTCCTTTAAATTATGCTAATTACTCTAAGTTTCTTACTAGCACAAGGTTCTATGACTCAGAAACTGTCTCTTTGTTGTTATACCCCAATATTTAGCTTTAGTACTTACATATTTGAATGAAATAATGTTTCAGTTATCTTAATAATGTGTGATTACAAAATAACTTCCTGAATTGGGCTAAACTGGGTAAATAATTTGTTTTTATTTTATATATTATTTTTTAAGCTTTTATTTTATATTACATGTATACTGTATAAAAAATTGTATTCAGATGAAGGTTACTCTGTTGCCTAGGCTGGAGTGCAGTGATGTGATCTTGGCTCACTGCAACCTCTGCCTCCTGGGTTTGAGTGATTCTCATTCCCCAGCCTCCCAAGTAGTTAGGATTACAGACATGCAGCCACCACACTTGGCTAATTATTTTTGTACCTTTAGTAGAGATGGGGTTTCGCCATGTTTGCCAGGCTGGTCTTGTTCTCCTGACCTCAAGTGATCCACCCACCCGGCCTCCCATAGTGCTGGGATTGCAGGCATGAGCCACCATGCCCGGTCTAAATAAGACAAATAATTTTAAAATATTTTTGTAGTTAGATTTAAATGGTTGCTGTGAAAATTAGGTATATTCTGATTGCTGTGAAAACTACATTTTTTTTCTGTACACCATTTATTTAGCAAGTGTTAATTGAGCAATTAGTGTGTACCAAACACTATAATGTTATACAGATAGTAACTAACATCTGTTGAATATTTGCTATGTATCAGACTCTATTTTAAGTGATTTATATTTAGTAACTTCCTTCTCTCAGACAATCCTGTGAGGTAAGTAGTATTACCTATGTTTTTTGTGGGTGAAAAAGTCAAGGTTCAGAGAGGTTAAGTAACATAGCCTGTAAGTGCTGAAGCTGGGATTTGAAGCCCTGCAGTCTGATTCCAGAGGGCTTTGTTCATCAGGTTTCTTGGGAAGATGGCTTCTAAACACGTATGAGGTATTTTCAGGTAGCTCAGTAAGTAGGATATCTACCATTTGGGTTGAAATATTACTTCTAGAGAAAATGACTAATTTTAGTGGTATGGGGTTTTCTCTGCTTTTCATTATTGGGCAAGAAGAAATACAGTTTAATAATGTTAGACATAGATAATTGAATGGTTGATTGTAACATTATGAGGTCATTTTCTCTGAGAAATAAGTGTTATTTTAGAATTAAATTCTGTAAAAATGTTTAATTTCTGTGCCTTATTATATATAGCTATGTTTCTTGGATAAGAGATTTTGACATTTTCAGAATGTTTGAATATTTTTATTTTAAAATAGTGTAGTGTAATTACAAATGTACAGAACATAATTATAAATTTCTAGTATATTTTTCTCTCTGAAAGCTGTTAAGGTTAAATAGATAAGGATATATATGTATTTACGTGTATTTTACTGTATAGAAGTCATATAATTATCCCTGGTATAATTGTTGTTTAGGAGATTTTTGTTTTTTTTAGTTTAGAACTTAGGGTGTTTATTTAGATTTTGTGGGAAAATGTTTCATCTTTAAATTTCTGAAGTATTTTCATGAAATTATGAACTTTCTGTTAGATTAAGTGTTGTTTTGGGCCCATGCTTAAATTAGTGGTCACTCCCTGGGAAATAGCTTTGTTTTGCTTCTTTGTTTTTGATGTTTAAATCTATGAGATTGCATTTTACTTTTTTGCGTAAGATTTTAAGAATCCATTCACTAAAGAAGCAAAAATATTGTTAAAAATTTGGGTGCTTGTTTTAATACACGTGCCTTAAAAGAAAACAAATAGTTAACGCACTTTATATTTGACACCAATATTTAGAAGGGGAAAATATCTGTTAAAGTTTTTCCCTCCACTTTTTAAAACTTTGTTTCATTGTTAGGATGTTAGTTATTCAGCAATTGTTGGTTCTCTTTTGTTGTTTTTTTGCGACGGAGTTTCGCTCTTGTTGCCCAGGCTGGAGTACAATGACGTGACCTTGGCTCACTGTAACCTCTCTGCCTCCTGGGTGCAAGCGATTCTCTTGCCTCAGCCTCCTGAGTATCTTGAATTACAGATGCACACCACCATGCTTGGCTAATTTTTTTGGATTTTTAGTAGAGGTAGGGTTTTACCATGTTGACCAGACTGGTCTCAAACTCCTGACCTCAGGTGATCCACCCACCTTGGCCTCCCAAAATGCTGGGATTATAGATGTGAGTCACTGTGCCTGGCCTTTTCCTACTTTTCAATTTAGTCTCAACTAAAGACAAAGTTGTCTCTAATTCTGTTTGCTTTTAGCTTAGATAATGTATCAATTTTTTCTTGGTAGTTTTTTTGATACCTTGCAGCATTCTGGGTGTTTGTATTTACCCTTCAGATTTTATGGGGCATGGTGAGGATTAGTTAAATTCATGAGTTTTTATTTGAAACTGACTATTTGCTGACTCTCAAAAGTAGAACTGAAAAAAAATTTTTTTAAACATTTTCCTGATAAACTCTAGACAGTAGTTTTTCCTAAAGTTCTTGCTGAATTCTCTTCAGGTACCTAGTGAAAGATAAGTTTAAGTATTTAAGAATTGTTCAAACTTCATGCTACGATCATAAATTTAGTCATGTTAGAGTAAAAAGGATGCCACTATGGCTTTAATCTATGCCAACCTTATTTGCAAGGATAAATGTACAAGTTGACATTGTTTTCCATGACGAATGATATTGTATCTTAATATTTATAATGTACATTTTAAATGTACATTATATTATTACATTATATTAAACATACATTTAAATTCCTAAATGAATATATGCATTCTCTTATTTTCTCCACTTCCACCTCAAATATTTTGAAGCCTCTTTCTAATCATGGACTTGGCTTGCAAGGAATAATTATTTGGAAATTCCATGTATAAATGATTGCTAACATTTTGCTTAAGAACAGAAGGTGGGTGCGCAGGCTTTTCTGTGAGCAGGCAGTCAACGCTAGTTTCTGTATTTTTGTTTTAGGTATGCTTCTGACTTTCTCTGCCTTCTTATGGCAGGGATATGTTATAATGCCCAAGTTTTTTCTCTTGACCGTTCTTTCAACATATGGCATTATTAATAATTTTAGCTAATTTAGTTGTTTCTAGCTGTTTTCTAAAATAATTAACTTTTTAGATAACAAAAAAGTACCTTTAAAAGCACAGCTGGAAATGCTGTCTTTAATATATTGTCTTTGATAGTTGGCCAAATAACACTGGATGGTGATATACATGAAGTATACTGGTCCAATGGGGGGAAAAAACGAAATTGACACTAATCTGAATACAAATTATTTCATTTATACAACCTGTAAAAATAAAAACAATTAGTTAATATTAAGATATATCATGAAAACATTTAGTGTTTTGGTATTTGTTCATATCTTACTCTTGTCCCTAACTATGAATCTCTTTACAGCCTGTTATTATTAGATTTCTGGGCCCAACTCTACTGCTCTCTCATTCCTATTTTTAGATGGGGGGAATTGTGTCTTAGAACTTTGGGCTCTTTATTGAACCTTAACTATATTTATTTACTTAATACTAAGTATGTAATAAGTGGCTGACCATTAATCTCCAGCTACTGGAGATTAATCATTAAAGCAAATGAGGTTGCTGTTCTCCTGGAGCTTAGTCTGCAAGGCCAGACCCATAGTCAATAAATAAAATAAGGTATAGGCATAAATACTATGAGGAAATATAGCAGATTGATATGAGAGTCTAGTCAGGTTATGAGTGTTTGGGAGAGAGAAATAGGAAAGCAAAACCGCTGTTGTTACTTGCCATGATACCTGGATGAGGAATCAATTAGTAAAGAGCCAGAGGGAGTGAGCCTGTAGGCAGAAGCAGCAGCAAATACAGAGGCCTTTTGGTCGGGATGAAGTTGGCTTATTTGGCTGAAGTGTATTGTTGAGAGTTTTGCTTTGGTAAAAGCTGAGATCCAAAATAAGGCAGGGGCCAGATTGTTTATGACTTTTAAGTCATATTAATAAGTTTAGATTTTCTCCTAACCACAATATGAAGTTAATGGAGGTAAAAGATAAAGGTGACTTGGGCTAGAGTGGTGCTAGTGGAGAAAAATGATTAAAATTGGTTTATATTT